TTGGAAAGAAATAATAATCATAAATAGTTTATGTTAATTTGAGAATAAGAGTACGATGGAAAAAGTTTGAAACATAGATGTAATAATATATAAATGTTATAAACCTTTCGTATAATTAAAGTGTAGTCTAGCTATTAAAAATTGTTGTGTGAATATATTTAACATTTTGAATAATGCATAGCTATATAACAGTAATCTATTAAATCTGTTTTCATCCAAAAGTCGTGTTCATGGGTGTGAGAAAGACTAATTTGTCCCTCCATTTTAAATAAGTAAAAAAATACAAGAGTTTAAAAAATATATTTTTCATCTCAACTCAAAACACACTGACCAAATATTTAAAAATTTATTGTTAAGGATAAAATGTGCTAATTAACTGAAAGTTCGTGATAAAATATTACGTAAAAAGTTCAGGACATAAATGAGCAAAAGTTGAAGACTTTCGTTGCAATTGAAATATGTTGTAGTTAACAAATAATGTGACGAACTTTGCTCCCAGACCTAGTCGAAGTCCTAGTGGAAAACAACATTCTAAAATGTTGTAATTCGAGGATAGAGTTGATTAAAAGATGCAAAAAAATAAATAAATAATAATAATAATAAATAAATAAATATGAAGCTGTGATCTTAAAGCTCAACGTGAAATTGGTGTAAACAAAATATTTTCGAAGTGTGGATGCATGTTGAGAAGTACCATTATCATTCTATGAAGTATCAACAATTCCTATTAGTGATGGCAACAGGGCGGGTTCGGTATGGGGCACCCCCACCCCGCCCCGCCCCGTTTGGCTAAAACCCCGCCCCGCCCCGGAATGGGGCAACTTTTTGCCCCGTTTAATTTTATTTTTTTTATATTTTGAAAGTTTCGAATTATATTATTATTAGAGAATAAAATACAAATTTAAAATAAGTTTTAACAGATGAATTGTCTAGAAATAAAATTATTTTTAATTGTTTTTATTTTTTTCTTCACGGTGCAGGTTCGAGGAGGGGCATCCTAGCACCATCCCATTCCTCCAACCTGTTTGGGACTATTATATATGGTAAAAACACTACATTTGTTATCATAACCTTGGCCACTACCATGAAGTCAACAATGATAAAAACTTGAATCACCATCACTTCTAACAACAATCATGAAGATGATGGCAGTGGTGATCATGTTCTTGTTAACAAAGGGTTGTAGCTAGGGATGTCAAAAGGGTCAAGCCTCTCAGCTCGTCGAAATAAGGCTTGTGGGCGACTCGTGCTCATAAAATCACGAGCCCGAGCACAAGCTGAGTGAGCCTCGTCGGGAGGCGAGCCGAGCCAGCTCGGCCCC